TGTTTACATAGTACCACGTACATCGCAAATGTCAGTTTTATAGATGACTTTTAAGTCATCGGCATAGAGGTAGGTTTTACCTTTGCTAAAGCACTTGCATATATTGTTGATGTAGATTATAAAGAGCAATCGACCCAAGACACTACCCTGCACAACACCACTAGTTATTGGTCGAGGTGTAGATGTTGTAGAGTTAATCTTGGTTATTTGATATCTGTTCGTAAGAAGACTTGATCCATTGCAAAAGAGGATTAATAATTCCAACTGACTTAAGTCTGTTGATTAGATTATAAGGTACTTTATAAAAAGCTTTCTTAATATCGAAATATAGTATAGCCACTAGTTTCTTCTGGTTAAAGAAGTCTATCAGACATGTACTGCACGACATTGTTCTAATGAAGCCGTGTTGTGACGGGTGTATTAGATCTTCCTTAAGTAGGTGACCGGACAGTTGATTTTGTATCACTTTTTCCATTATGTGTGATATAACTGGAGTGATATTTATGGTTCTGTAGTTTTCGACTAGGTTTCTCGGTCTGGATTTCTGTTCGGGAAGAACATACGTTACCTTCCAGGTTTCCGGATATGTACCTGTCTCTAAAGATAATGTGTATATTTTGAGTAATAGCGTCTGTATATCCGGTCCTGACATTTTATAAAGGATTGAAGAGATGTCATCGGCACCAGAACTCGCACTTGGCTTAAGGGTTTTAGTGGCGGTATGTATACTCCTAATGTCGAAGTTTGTGGTACTAAGATAATTTTTGCTGATGCACTTTATGTTGATGTCTGGAGTATGAGATGTATTCCCATTTTGGGAAAACCATTCACTTAATAGTTCACATATGACGGTTTAGTCATTATGCGTCACTCCATCGTGCAGTAAGGAGTGAATGTTGTGATCTGCGTTCTTTCTTATGCGTTTTGCGAGGAGACGACATAAGACTTGGGCTTTAGATGCATCAGTGAGCTCAGTACGTTCCTCTGCCTGTTTATGCTTGTTGTGTTGACTTTGTACTCCGTCAGGTACATAGTATATCTGGTGCAGGGCACTGAAGTCTTTTGATATATAGTACGTTCTTTTCAGTTTTCGCAGTTTAGACCTAGTCTTTTGGCTTATATAGGGAGTAATTGTTTTTAAAGCAATTTTAGAGGGTATAGTAGTGTCTAGTGCAGATTCGGTGGTGGTATTGAGTATTTCTAATGTTTCTGAAAGGTTATCACTGGTAAAGAAACTGCTCCAGTCAGAGTGCTTTATTAGAAATAGAAAGTTTTCCCAGTCAGTGTTTGCATAGTCTCTATATTGGAAACTCGTATTTATTGTCTTTAATTTGTTGCACATGGCAAGAATCGGAAGGGTGCAGAGGACTATTTTATGGTCGCTGTTGTGAAACTTTTCGCCAACCACCATTGATGTTGGTGTGACATTATGACAGAATATCAAGTCAAGAATGTTGTGATTTCGTGTAGGCAGGTGTACATGTTGTTGCCAACCGTGTATGTCTAAGGACCTAGAGTATGCTTTCAAAGCACAATGGGCCAGAATGCGTCGTCCAGTTGATGGTGGGAAGGTTGAAATCACCACATACAATTTTGTAAGTGAAGTCAAGCGAGGCAGCCTGAGCAAATGGCTCACTTATAATAGCGTCAGTTGAACTAGGAGTGTTAGGAGCTCGATATATGCATCCGATTAGTATTTTACATTCACGAGTGTTCACAGTAAGCCATATCGAATCAGAAAGTTTGCTGAGGACATGGTCACTACAGATTTCCACTCTCAAACTTTCTGATACATAAACAAGACAACCACCACCCTTCTTGGTGATTCGATCACAGCGGAAGAGCTCATAGGTGTCTATTTGTAGATATGTGTCTGTGGTGTCGGAGGACAGCCAACTTTTCGTCATCAAAATAAGTGAGGGGTTGTTTAAAAGTAATAGGGTGCGTAGGTGAGTCATCTTACCTTGTACAGATCGAGTGTTGATTAACATAAGTGTCAGGTACGGTGAGTGTTTGTTTAGTAGAAGGGTATGTTGTAAACCCAGTGGATTGTCTGTTTTGCCATGAGAAAAGAAAGAATTGGTAGTGTTGACTCCATATTAATGAGCGTTTAGTTTATTACCAATAGAGTTAATGCGAGAAAGGTAGTTGGAGGTTAGTTTGGTCAAAGAAGTAAGTTTAAGAGTGAAAGGTAGAGTTGAATGGTTAGGTAGGAACATAGAGCAGCTGCAAACACTCAGCTACCCCAAAATGTTAATCCACTTATGCCTCAATACTGCCCCAGTATTGCCCTAGCGGCCCCTATAAGAAGCCTAAAAATGATCCTCCCAGGAATTGCGCTAACAGCTACAGACGCTCAGACACCGCTGTGCGAAATAATACTAAATGTTGAGAGCGACAGTCCCACTATTCTGAGACCATCTATATACTCCGACCTAATAAGGAGTGACATATCTTTCTCAACGTCGATAACTGTCTCTAGTCGTAAAAGCTCTGTGACTGAACCTCCTGATCACTCCCCGAACACACTACCTAACCATTCAACTCTACCTTTCACTCTTAAACTTACTTCTTTGACCAAACTAACCTCCAACTACCTTTCTCGCATTAACCCTATTGGTAATAAACTAAACGCTCATTAATATGGAGTCAACACTACCAATTCTTTCTTTTCTCATGGCAAAACAGACAATCCACTGGGTTTACAACATACCCTTCTACTAAACAAACACTCACCGTACCTGACACTTATGTTCATCAACACTCGATCGAGTCACCAAGAAGGGTGGTGGTTGTCTTGTTTATGTATCAGAAAGTTTGAGAGTGGAAATCTGTAGTGACCATGTCCTCAGCAAACTTTCTGATTCGATATGGCTTACTGTGAACACTCGTGAATGTAAAATACTAATCGGATGCATATATCGAGCTCCTAACACTCCTAGTTCAACTGACGCTATTATAAGTGAGCCATTTGCTCAGGCTGCCTCGCTTGACTTCACTTACAAAATTGTATGTGGTGATTTCAACCTTCCCACCATCAACTGGACGACGCATTCTGGCCCATTGTGCTTTGAAAGCATACTCTAGGTCCTTAGACATACACGGTTGGCAACAACATGTACACCTGCCTACACGAAATCACAACATTCTTGACTTGATATTCTGTCATAATGTCACACCAACATCAATGGTGGTTGGCGAAAAGTTTCACAACAGCGACCATAAAATAGTCCTCTGCACCCTTCCGATTCTTGCCATGTGCAACAAATTAAAGACAATAAATACGAGTTTCCAATATAGAGACTATGCAAACACTGACTGGGAAAACTTTCTATTTCTAATAAAGCACTCTGACTGGAGCAGTTTCTTTACCAGTGATAACCTTTCAGAAACATTAGAAATACTCAATACCACCACCGAATCTGCACTAGACACTACTATACCCTCTAAAATTGCTTTAAAAACAATTACTCCCTATATAAGCCAAAAGACTAGGTCTAAACTGCGAAAACTGAAAAGAACGTACTATATATCAAAAGACTTCAGTGCCCTGCACCAGATATACTATGTACCTGACGGAGTACAAAGTCAACACAACAAGCATAAACAGGCAGAGGAACGTACTGAGCTCACTGATGCATCTAAAGCCCAAGTCTTATGTCGTCTCCTCGCAAAACGCATAAGAAAGAACGCAGATCACAACATTCACTCCTTACTGCACGATGGAGTGACGCATAATGACTAAACCGTCATATGTGAACTATTAAGTGAATGGTTTTCCCAAAATGGGAATACATCTCATACTCCAGACATCAACATAAAGTGCATCAGCAAAAATTATCTTAGTACCACAAACTTCGACATTAGGAGTATACATACCGCCACTAAAACCCTTAAGCCAAGTGCGAGTTCTGGTGCCGATGACATCTCTTCAATCCTTTATAAAATGTCAGGACCGGATATACAGACGCTATTACTCAAAATATACACATTATCTTTAGAGACAGGTACATATCCGGAAACCTGGAAGGTAACGTATGTTCTTCCCGAACAGAAATCCAGACCGAGAAACCTAGTCGAAAACTACAGAACCATAAATATCACTCCAGTTATATCACACATAATGGAAAAAGTGATACAAAATCAACTGTCCGGTCACCTACTTAAGGAAGATCTAATACACCCGTCACAACACGGCTTCATTAGAACAATGTCGTGCAGTACATGTCTGATAGACTTCTTTAACCAGAAGAAACTAGTGGCTATACTATATTTCGATATTAAGAAAGCCTTTTATAAAGATACGACGTTTGGATTCTGATTTTTAAAGAATTTATTTGTAACTTTAACTTCTCCAACTTTGTCCCCCTCCACAAAATAATGTCGGATCCTCATATCTCCAACATGAAATTATTATGACTTTATTTTTCATCATTTTTGTCGCATTGGATGGAGAATCCAGTAGGAATGGCTATATGGTCCTTTCACTCGAAATAGTTCGGATTTGGGTTTTCTGAAATACTTTCCTCATATTCATTACGTATCTCGTTAGTGGATACCAGGTTTCTAGGAAAATCAACATTTAGCAAAATTGGATTGGATTTTCGATCATAGCTTGGTTCAGCCGACATATCTTTCCCATTTTTATAGGAAATCTCACCAAAATTATGTGCATTATTATAAAAATCCATACCTAGTACATTGTCTTGAGAAATCGGATAAGTTGGTTCAATATAAATTTCTCTCTCCCAATGATTTTGAGTATCACTTGGTACATTTGGGTTCATATTATTTCTCCAGTTATTTTCTAGATATGAGTCCACACAGCTTTCTCTATTAATATCACATGAACTATATTTTTGTTCTAAGTTTATATTCATAGTTAGACAGGGCCAGCACTGCTTCATTTAATTCTGAACTTGAGGCTTCATCTACATGATCATCTGTTTCTTAATCATCTGGTATCATCACAATTTCATGTGCAGTTAGCAAGATATTGTCTTGTTGTGAGCCGGAAAATTTGCAAATATTACGTTTTGCTTCAGGTATGAAGGGATTTGAACCCTCTACAGGGCATGCTTCTGAAATAGCCGTTCCTGGACTATTTCCGCTCTTCATCGTACATATTTCACTCAATTGGACATCCCATATATTTAGTTTATCTATCCAATGTTATTTATTTATTTATTTATTTGAACACATAAATATTGGTACAAGAGAGCGCCAATATATATGCGCCACACAAAACAATGGGAATTCGAAGAGAAGTAGAAAGAAAAAAAAAACTAAGGAACGCAAAAGAAAAAGAGAGTAATGACGAAGAGGTACAATCAGAAGAAATCTTTCAGGTAAAGGAGACACAACCACTTTTTATGAAGAAAGTAAAAGAAGGTTACAGCAGGATCGCCAATGACTTCTATTCTGAGCCATATCTGATAACGTCTCTAGCCACTGTGTAGCACCATCTCTCGGACCCCAGCCAGGGAGTCGTGAAGGACCAACACAAGCCAGTCCTTTCCAGCTTTCTTTCATGCCACGACACCATGTCATGCACTGACCACCTCTCCGCTTCTTCCAACCAGTCCCAGAGTCGGCAAATAGTGCACGACGTGGAATTCTCTGGGACAACATTCGGAGAACATGTCCAAGCCACCGAAGTCGGTGTTTCAAGATGGTGACACCAATTGAGTTATCATCTCTGTGCCCGAACACACGATGCCGAACCTCTGCATTACTAACATGGTGTTGCCACTGAATGTCAGCAATCCTTCGGAGACAGCGATGATCAAACACAGAGAGTCGTCTAACGTCCTCAACTCGGAGAGGCCAGGTTTCACAAGCATAGAGCAAAACTGCTCTCACCGACGCGTTGTAGATCCGGCCTTTTACAGCCAGACTGACATCACGAAGGCGCCAAAGGTGGCCCAGATTGGCATAAGCCGCTCTGGCTTTCACTATTCGTGCATTGATCTCATCACTCACACCCCCACCAGCACTTATGCAGCTACCCAGATACACGAACTTCTCAACTACGTCTATCTGCTCACCATCCAGGGTGAGTACAGGATTGGGATCCTGCCAGTCTTGTAGAAGTACTTTGCACTTCGAAGGTGCAAAGCACATACCATACCTACGGACATTGATTGCCAACTGATTAAGTGCGGATTGCATGCCTTGGGCATTATCGCACAGTAAGACAATATCGTCCGCATACTCAAGGTCGAGAAGTCTTTCTCCAGGCAACAGATCCACACCACCATTACTTACATTCATCAGAGCTGTTTCCAGAATGTCATCGATGGCAAAGTTGAAGAGGAATGGTGAGATTGGGCAACCCTGCCTAACCCCACTGCTCGAATGGAACAATGGAGAGAGGTGGTTGTATGCCCTCACTCTGCCTGAGGTGTTTTTATACAGGGCTTTTAGGATGTTAATAAACTTCTCAGGCACACCCTTCTTCAATAGACAATCCCAGAGAACAGTCCTATCCAACGAATCGAAGGCAGCCCTGATGTCAAGAAACACTACGATTGTTGGCCTTTGAAAAGTATGGCGGTGTTCTAACATTTGGCGGAGGGTGAAGATATGATCAATACATCCTCGACCAGAACGAAACCCAGCCTGCTCCTCGCGAGTCAATCTTTCTCGGGTTTTGAACAACCTACGGAGAATGACGGAAGCCAATAGCTTGGACGCAATCGGAAGTAAACTTATCCCCCGATAGTTGTTACAATAACGACGTGAACCCTTTTTAAAGATAGGGACAACTATCGACTCATTCCATGACGTTGGTACACTCTCTAGATCTCAAACCTTTGTAAACAACGTCGTCAATTCCTTAGTCAAAAAGTCACCACCATCTTTAAAAAGAGCCGGAGGTAAGTCATCTGGGCCAGGTGATTTGTAACGCTTCAAGAGTTGGAGTTCCTTGTGGACTTCCTCCTCATTTGGTGGATCAGTCGTCACCGGCCATGGAGGGCAGGACAGTCTGACCGATGTTACCGGAGCAGCAGGCCAGTTGAACTGCCCTTCGAAAAATTCTGCCCATCGTCCAAGACGTCGATGGATGTTTGTGATTGGCATCCCATCATCCTCGCAGATTGTTTCACTCACACCAGACTTCTTGCTGCCAGTGGCTCGGATGAGTTGGAAGAGCTTCCGGTAGTTACCAGATGCAGCTGCTGCTTCCAGCTCATTAGCACGCATCGACCACCAGGCTTCTCGGTCCTTACGCAAGCTTTGCCCGATTTGCTTACGTAAAAACCTTCGTTTATGGTCAAACTCACGGTTACCCGGAGTAGACCGACGGGCTTCAATGAGTTGTAAGGAACCAGAAGAAACCCAGTGCTTAAAAGCGGGACGTTTCGCAAACCCACAACTGACTGTTCCCGCCATTTTCATGGCGTCATGCAATTGCAACCAATGCTCATCTATACTTTTCGGTGGAGTGGTAGCTAGCCTAGAGGCTAGCTCGGTTCGATACTTACTTGCAACAGAAGTTGCAACCAGCTTGCTAACATCAATCCGTTGATGGCGTTCACTTCGTTGTCCACTGAAAAGTAAGGCAAGATTGGCGCAGACCAAGGCATGGTCAGAGTCCAGATAGGTACTCCAAAAGGAGCGGCAGTCTTGTACACAACCACGCCAGCGGTAGCTGATCGCGATGTGATCAATCTGAGTCCAGGCTTGAGATGCAGAGGGAGGACGCCAGGTGGCACATCGGCGATGACTGTGCCGAAAGTTAGTGCTAGCCAGAAACAGGTTGTGGTCTGCGCAAAGTTGCAGTAGACGGTCCCCGTTATCTGACCTGCGACCAACGAGTCCCCATCGGCCACCTAAACGACTCTCTTCTGTGCCTAGACGCCCGACCTGAGCATTCAAGTCTCCGGCTAGTACTACAATATCTGTCGAACGCACTTTCTGGAGAAGAACTGATAACTGGTGGTAAAACTCATCCTTGATTGCATCCGGGCTGCAATCTGTCGGGGCATAGGCGGAGATGACGAAAAGACATCGTTTCTCACGCCGATTTCTTCTCACTTTGATGGAACTTTCTAATCTAACAGCACATAACCGACTGTTAATGGGGATCCAATCGACTAGTGCTGCCTCAGCTCTAGCGCTTAGTGCGACACCAACGCCAGCAAAACCAGACGAAGATGCCACAGGGTCCCTGGATAAGCGCACGTAAAACAAGCTTTTCGAAGCGACAGATGGAGATCGAATTTGTAGTACTTCGCCAGAGTCTTGAATACGGGTCTCGGATAGACAACACACGTCGATATTAAGACTTTCCAAAGACATAGCCAGCCCTATCTGTTGTCCGACCTGCATAAATGTGCGAACGTTGAAGGCAGCCAGTTTGAATGATGCACGTGGTTTCAGAAAATCTGCTTCAGTCCTCGTATTCGGTGGTAACATACAATTTTCAACCGGACAGTGACTCGAGAACGTTTAGATACAGTCGGAATTCCACCAAAGACGAGCCGCTGTATAAGTATAAAAGAAGGTGAATAATGTGGAAAATAATAATAATAATGATAATAATAACAATAATGACAATAATAGTAGTAATAATAATATTAGTATTAATAATGACAATAATTGAAGTGATCATAATTTGAATCAATTGATTGTTTTTCAAAGCGACAAAAGTAGTTTCCATAGACATAAAGCGTTCATCATTTGTGTGTGGGCTGTGATACTGCCCGGGTGCCCAAACCGAAGCAGGTGGTTATCTTAGGGGGCCACTCCCCGAGCCTTTGACCTAAAGGTCTAACCCACAAGGCAGTGGAGCATCGTAAGGAGATGCAGTCCCATGGTAGCCGGTGACCAACGATTGGTTCATACGCCATTCGTTCCCGCAGGATACTGGAGCCCATGTGCACCATTGGTTTGGAATCCGGTTAAAGCGCCGGACATTCGCTTCTCGTCCTCTCATTTTCGTAGACAACACCCCCGCCACGAGAAGGCAATGAGTAGGACTTCCCTGGCAGAGGCTATATACGCGTGGCCGTGTGAGAGTATTTCGAGAGGGAGAGCGGACTCTCCCCACTCTCGGCCGTACCAGGGCATTCAGGGGGCCTATCCAATGTATACCAATAAGGTCTAAATCATGCCTGTTCGTTAAATAACAATTCCCTGTAAAGTAATTACCTCGAAATTCAACAGAGCATTTTATCATTCCAACGAGCCTTAATATATCTCCGGATCCATTTCGTGCTGTGTGCTCAGTTGATAATACTTTTAGACAACCAATTAAATTCCATGTTCGTTTAGAGGTCAATGTGATGTCTCATGCTCTATCCAATTGCAATTGAATATGAACACCATCTACAATTAATTCCACATACCTTCTTTTATCTGCTATGCTTAGAGCCAATGTAGCATACATACTATTTATATACTTTTTCTGGTACTGGTGAGGATGCTTCGTTTGTTTTGATCTTAATCTTTCTCTATTTCGGCAGACAGTTCCTTTATGGCCAACTTTATTGCATATAGTGCGTCTATGATTCCTAAACCGGCAAAATTTTGAGAAGTGCCACGCACCACGATACCGACATTTAGTTGAAGGTTTAAGAATTTTCGAGTCATATTTATGACTTTTTGTACTATTTTGTCTTTGACCTGTCTTAACAGCATAAACAGAATTAAATGGCCCAACACTTTTGGTTTCCAGCATAGCTGTATCTTGTTTTAGGTTTATCAATCGTTGGCCTTCCCTAGTAACAGTTTGTAGTGTCATTTCCTCGTCATATTCCATACGGGATAATAACCTTATGCGAAAATCAGCATCGCTGTGAGAGTTCAAACCAGAAATGAATAATAAGCATTTAAATTGGTCATTAGTTAATACATTTAATTTAAATCGTTCTGCTTGTAAATGTACCCTTCCGGCGTACATAGCATAGTCTTCATCAGCCTCTTTAGTCAGCTCATAAAACATTTTATTTAAAATGTTGACAGTTTCATCGAAACTAACTTCTTGTGGGTGTTTAGCAAGGATATGGTTTTTATATCTTTGATGCTCGTTAGGATCAAGCTTCTGTAAGAGCAAACGTATTTTCTTTGCGTCATCTACAGCAGCGAATTCCACTCGGTAAATATCTTCAATTCCGCCAAACCACGCTTCAAAAGTGTGACCATTATCTGCATCAAATATAAATTCTGGAACTGGATTTAGATATGACTCTATACTTTTATGTTCTGGAATATCTTATTGGATAGATAGTTTCTACAAGAGTGTTTCTAGGAATTTCTTTTGGGAAGCTAACATCTGCTGCTGTAATAATAACTGCAACTTTTCTAAAGAAATCGCCATTTTTAAATAATAATAATATTAGCTCCAAAAATCATCGGTAATTATTATAGCTTATTTCCTTCCAAAATCTGGGGAATATAGATATACATAATCTAGTTACTGAATATTTATAACATAAGAATATATAAATAATATTAGTCTATAAATAGGTCTCAGACGTTACTCGTAATATAATCTTCACTGGGATATAACATATACCACATGTCGGACTCAGTCCAGACCAAAAGCCTATAGGGTAAAAGTGATTTATCACCGGTACAGATAGTCACTGTTATGGCTACGAAATTCCGACTCCTAAAATTTAATCGAAGAGACTCCGAGTTGTAGTTTGCCGAATTAAAGTTTTATATCATGGGTTACAATATTAAATCTGAGGGGGTAATCCACCGAGACTTATGCTCTGTTCTCCTTTCTTCATTCGCCAAAGAAGCCTGTGACTTATTTTGACTTCCATAAAATCACAACCATACACCTTAATAATATGAGAAATAATAAACAATCTATTTTCATCACACAGTCAAAGAGTCCAAAGTCTTTTCCAAGTAAAAACGTTGAGTGATGGAACATCACAGTTCTAATGCAACTTCAAGATTGGATGGTGACAACGATGTGTGTAAAGGAGTTTTTAATACAAAGATGAATATAAGCTTTCCATTCTACGTTAAATGCTGTTTGGAAACTGGTTCCGAAAGCAACCTTACTTGACGCACTGCGAATTGCAGATCGAATACTGGAGAGAGGTCCCCAACTGGATTACTTACGATATATCATACACAAAAAGAAGAGCCATCAAAGGACTCAGTCATAACATAACTGATTGTGAGTGTCGATAATCTCACACAGACTGTTGTCAAAATGCAAGTAAATGACAAAAAGGTGAAGCAATCACTCATGGTGAATAAGGTACAGGTCATATGACCTGTACCTAGTGTTCTGTATAGAACACTAGCTCGAGATAGGCTTAAGAACTCCGGAGCTGAATTGCATTACAGGCTAAAGGTGAGTAGTATCCGTCAATCTGATAGGCAATGGGCATCCCATCCACACACAGTTCTGTGAAACAACGAGGTTGACCAAATCGGGACATCTTACAATTTGCCGGAAGCTGAGGAACTCAACCGTAAGACAGCTACTACAACACTTCCTAGACAGTCTGGGTTTGTAAGCATGTAACTCGGACTGAAGAAGGTAGGACAAACACTTCGAGTTTGATATACAACTTACCTCAGTATATTCATTTTGTACGGGGGTATATATATATGATTTGATAATTACCAGTCCGGATTTAAAATCAGATGTACAACACGTAAGGGCAGTGTTGAAGCGGCCAAGCGAAAAAGGAACAGACATTCATTTAAGTATGTTTTGGATTTCAAACTTCAGGATTTCTTAGACACATAATGAGCCCAGCATGGATTGCAACGATCGGAGATGTGAACACCGTGAAGCAATACCCCATACCAAGTTCTTCACCATAACGTAAGAGTTTTCTAGATTTAGATAACACTTACCGTTGACTCATGCCTGGTTGAACACAATCAATACAGTTTATGAAAAATTCCCTTCAGAGAAATCCGAAAGTTTTAAGGTTGACTTCTGACACTGTTGACGTCAGTAATCAGCTAAAAATAAACCGGCTCAACTGTCTATGTTAACGTACCCGAATTGCAGTTCCACAATCGTCTTGATGATAGATGCTTCGGCAAGGCAGTAGGTGATATCCTCAACAAAATAGTTGAAAACGCCTGACAACCGAGCGCGTTCTTCACAAAGAGACTCGCCCTGGAAGAGGCTGGATATTCCACTCATAATCAAGAACATCTCGAGATCCATCTGGCTCAGTGGTCGGGCTTGCCTACCGTGATGACCCAACCGAGCTATATTGGCTGGAACATATGTTCCTGTAGTTTCTACCATGCCAGGCAGGTCGATTGGAGAACGGTAAGACTCAAAGCAGCAACTCAAGGTCTGAGGGCGAAGTCGTACTGCTGGTTGTAGAGGGGTGTGACAGCAGTAAGGTGTTTCCCTCGGACAACCACAAGGACGGGTGGGGTTAGAAAACGTCGACCCTAAAATTGTCACACCTCACCTTACCTCACGGATTTCCGTCTCCGGCGGTAAGGCCCTTTGGAGAACGGAGCTAACACGTCAAAAACCTCCCACGAAAAGGCCGTGCGCGACCGGCCTCAAGCAGTTGTCCCTTGGGCTCTGTGGTCACGCTTTCAGGTCGTTAAGACCAACACTACTCCGACCTCCTTTTCAGGTTCCTCAGGAAATACCCTTCCACGGTGTGGGCAGCCGGGAAGTGATATCAGCTGTCATACCCGTAACAGCATGCGAGACCAGGTTGGTCAAGATCAAATCCTTCCCACACCTATTAACTCCCTCATCTCCTCGACTAACCCTTCTCTCGTTCCTTTATCACCTCTCACGGCTAGGGCAAACGACTCAAGTACGCGGAACGTTATTCCTGGTCTCCTGAAACCATGCTCTAAAGTACACGTAGGAACTTTTAACGTCCGAACTTTGTGCCAAAAAAGACAACAGGCTTCCTCAGCTAGGACTTTAGAATATCGTGCCAAAGAAAAGATAATGGCGACGGTCTGTTGCAGCTATGCTCAGATAACCGCCTGTTTCTTGGAAACACTAACATTAAGCACGAGGAAAAACATATTTTGACATGACGACCCCCGAATTCGTCCCAACGTTGGACCCAAATAGATCACATCGCTGTCAGCCACCGATGGAGGGGCTCGATAGAAGGCTGTCGCTCATTCCGGAGCACATGCTTCGACTCAGATCATGCTCTAGTGCGAGCGCGTATTTGTCTACGTCTTACTGGACGTAGGAAACCCCTTAAAGTCCTACTTAATGATAGTCAAGCCAAGAGTATACTTGTGGAACAACTAAAAAAACAGTTGGGCAGCCATGTAAGTGATGCCCACCCCGAGGCAGCGTGCAATGACACCGAAAAGCTGAGGAAACGGCAGTGACGTCTTCAAATACGGTAAACCACAAGGTTAGGGAGAAACACTGGATCTCAACAGCATCTACCGCACTGATAGGTGCTCGGAAACTCATCCCATCTGGCTCTGAACATGAAAAATAGAGGAGTCAGCTTGAGCGCTTCATGGCCGGAGTATAACAGGAGCTCTCCTGTAGTTAGTCGTTGTTGTCCAACTTGTGTCCAATGTGTTTCACTGATCCCAAGTACCTCTAGGTTGTATCTTCTCATTTCTGCAGCAATTTGGAAGGCTCTTCCGGTGTCCCACATTGTACGAACATTCCATGTACCTAAATAAAAGGTCGCTCTGGTTGTCAGAAGGGGCATCGGCCTCGTAACTTCCGAAGGAATTCGGCTTTCATCATGAGGCGTCATAATTCTTCTAAATGAAGATCTTCTGACTCCCAGGGCAGAGTTTAAAAGGTTTGAATAATTTTTTCTGAATAGCGTTTTTTTAGCGAGTTAGCTTTCTACGGGATGGGGACGCTACCCCCATGCCCAACCCTCCTCCTTTATCCGGGCTTGGGGCCGGCAGTAGCCCCCGGAGGGACTCCAGGCGGAGTTAGTATTCGATCATAGGTGTCTCCAAATCACTGCTCGTATATCTTGGAACCACCGAGTAAGTAACGCAGTTGTTAGGAGACAAGTATTAGGTAAGGATGGCAAATCCATTGATGAAGTAGTAAAACTTCACCAGTTGAGATGGCTGGGACACGTGTTACGTATGCCCAACCATCGACTGCCTCGACGTGAGATGTTTTCTGGTGTACGATTAGGTTGGAAGAAAGCTATGGACGGTCAGACCAAAACATGGCACAAATACATGAAGTCAACGACAAGTGGACTGAGTCATATTGGTAGGTGTAGACTACCTGGTTGTGGACCGCGAGATTATATCAACCGATGGTTAGAGACGTTGAACGACATGGCTCAAAATCGTTTGCAATGACACAGGTGCATCCATTCTTTGTGTTCTCCTAAACTCTAATCTTCTGAATTCTTCATGTCCCTTTTTTCCTCTTTCCAAATTTACCTCACTAAGTTATACTCCTTGAATAACATCTTCAAACCCTAATGTTTCCGATTACTGCTTACACTCTTACTACCTCTACCACTGTGGGATTTGAATCGACAACTGCATCTCTGTGCTAATGTGGTATGGCAATTCGAACTGCTGTACGTATGTACGAAGTTCCACGTTGTTACTGAGTTATTATTGTATTTTCATTACCCTAATACATTTTATCGTCTTATTCAAAGAGCGTCCGATAATCATCACTGTTCTGACAACCTGTAATTCATTTTTGCTAGGACGTTGAAACCGTGCACTGTTCGTTACATACATTTTAATATATAGAAAATTGGGAATCGAGCTGCACTACGCAATGATGGACTAGTCCCATTTATATCTGATCATAATCACTAACCACAGCTCCATACTCTTCATTCTGCGAGGCTTCCATAATAATAGCAGCATTTGACCTTTTATATTCAGCTTCTAAGCTTATGTATTATAAACAACAAATTTGCAAAGTAATTCGGGAATACTTTTATCCAAGCTACACTCCCTCATTACATAATGCCTGAAACTTAATTATGAATACTAGGCAAGAATAGAAAACCAACTTCTGCAATGACAGTAGAATGATATTGATATCAGCGGTCCAATATATCTAAACAGGTAGTAAGAAAGCTGGTGTACTGCGAAACTAGGGTGTTCAGCATATCTTAAAATACTAGTTCATAAAATAATACGAAACTATTGAAATGATAGCGTAGTAAACCTTTGAGGTTATTGGTGTGAGTAGTGTATATATATATATAGAAACACGTCATTCCACAAGAGTACTTTAATAATACGGTCTCAACGGTCACAAATGATAGTAAGATTTCAAGGTATCACAGAGGTTAAAACAACGATGATTTTAGCAAATTAAGAAAGGTATTTATTCAATATATCTTATACAAAGAAACAACAATAATATACATTCGGAATTCGCATTATAATAGCACGATCTTCCATTACTCAAGGTTTCCACAGTTTTACTAAACCATCTTCTGAATAAGTAGCAATAAGGTTTTGATGAGGGTGATGTGCACAACCTATCACTTCCTTTTCATGAACCTATAGAAGAAGAATACATAATATTAATTGTCCATTTAAATTAATGTTAAGTAAACACTATGGCTCAAAATATTCTTCATAAATTGTTTCCTACAGACGACCAGGAACGGTAAAGGTGCTACTTTTTGACAATAGAATGGGTAAGAAAAAGTTAACTGTAGGAGTGCTACACCCTAAATTACCCCAAAGATTTCAGTCTCCAACTATAAGGCATAAAACGCACAGAGTTAACTCATCTGAAACTTACTAGAAAAATTCTGGGTTCAACCGGCTTCTAGAGATTGTACTAGGGGTTTTGTTGTCACGCTCTGACACCATGAAGACCACTATGACTCTTTACCTTTCCAAGTTCCCCAGGAGGAAGTATCCTTCAAACGCGAAGCGATAAATGTCCTTATACCTCTAACAACATAAGAGATCACTCTGTTCACGAACAATCCCCAACTACAACACCAAATTTTGTTTGTTCTTGTTACAAAATACCATCCAAGGCCTCCTGAGAACGAATATCGAACTACATAATAATGCTTTTAATGTTCAGAAGGTGTGTTAAATTAGACAACAGGCATCACAATCTAAGACCGTACAACGTCGTAAAATCGATGTATGATGGACAAACATATCATATAGCCATCAGCTATCATTGTAATGGATCGACAGAGCACTGTAACTACCACTGGAGTACCTTCCAAAACTCTAATTATGTTTTATCTCAGTGAGAGCACGCAGTCTGATGAGCTTTACTTCTGAAGGAAAACATCTCCAATACATCAACTCAGATGAAAAAGTCAAAAGAGTGAAGACAGGGACAAATTAATCGTCCATATAGTTTATCCTAGAGAAATAACTCACACTGAAGCACATAATGATATCCGAATACAGTTTGGTTTCAGATATGACGGCTGATGTACTAGCCAAAAACTCACCCTTCATTAGGTTTTAGAACATAGGCATAATTATCAAACCTAGATTGTAGTGGTATATTTCGATCTGAAGCTTTTATTTTACTCAGTTGACAAGGTAATTCTATGGCAATATATATGTCAGTCAGAGGACTACCAAAAAAGTACATTAATATTGTGAAGGATTCCATCTCAGAATCTATTGTAAGATTCATAGCTTACAAGAAACAGTTGACCTAAAGTGATATTTGTCCAGAATACATACAATCTGGATTTTTATTCAAATTTGTTGTTGATGTACCTCTCTAGAGATAATATTTTCTTCATTTGAATATTCTGAAGTTCATTTCCTATAAAGAGGTTTGCTTGCCGACTTGGATACCTATATGATATAATCCTATTTGATGAGAACTCGAACAAGATGAAATCTAATGTTTAACTTAAACAGCAATTTCAGCATGTTCTGGATCCGTTTCACTACCTCAAAATACAAAATGCCACTTCATAACTTTCTGTGTCAATGATTGAACACGTGAAAAGGAATGAAATGTTCAAGGGCAACGACCAACTGATTCAATTAAGTAGTTTTATCAAGCCTGATTAGTTGGTGTCTAACAAAATATCGGCATAGATTAAGCGTATAAGTAGGTTGGAAAGAAGCTAAGAACAACCATATTAAGATATATCATCAGTTCATGAAGCAAGTCATTGACTGTTAAACTTCATCATGTAGGCAGGTACATACTACCTGGTTAGACTCTAAGCAATAACAGTGATCAGTGGGTAGGGACTTTAGATGACATGATTCAGAATGGTCTTCAATGGCACAGACCCACTCACTGTTTATCTTCCACTCGGCTGTGAATTCAAATATCCCTTCGTACAAACCTTTTCACTTTATCTTTTCCAATTCTATACATATAATGCATCATCATATAAACTTACTCGCATTGTTCGCTCTAATTTACCACCAGCAGCAACATTGAAACAATATAACAAATGATCTTCAGCTACACAATATATCCATTCACCTCTACCACTAAGTGTACAATCCAGAAAATCACCACCTTCTCGTTTACCACTAGAAAAACTTCGAACAATCTAATGATCGAGAAGAAAAAATAACAATAAGACATTTATGAAAGGATAATAATCATAAACCTAATTATCATATGGAGAGAAATGAAAAGAAAAGGTTATTGGTTGTTTGGATATCCATGTCATTTGTTTAAATCATGTTTTTCTCGAATTATTTCAATACTGTTATGCAACATACTTGTAATTATACATAACACTTACTAGTATTGTAGTGAACGAGAACACACACAGAACATCTTAGTAAAATCTGAGAACCATATAGTGAGTTACAAAATGTCAGTCAGTCAGTAACAACGTGGAACTTCGTACATACGTACAGCAGTTCGAATTGCCATACCACATTAGCACAGAGATGCAGTTGTCGATTCAAATCCCACAGTGGTAGAGGTAGTAAGAGTATAAGCAGTAATCGGAAACATTAGGGTTTGAAGATGTTATTCAAGGAGTATAACTCAGTGAGGTGAATTTGGAAAGAGGAAAAAAGGGACATGAAGAATTCAGAAGATTAGAGTTTAGGAGAACACAAAGAATGGATGCACCTGTGTCATTGCAAACGATTTTGAGCCATATCATTCAACGTCCCTAACCATCGGTTGATATAATCTCGCGGTCCACAACCAGGTAGTCTACACCTACCAATATGACTCAGTCCACTTGTCGTTGACTTCATGTATTTGTGCCATGTTTTGGTCTGACCGTCCATAGCTTTCTTCCAACCTAATCGTACACCAGAAAACATCGCACGTCGAGGCAGTCGATGGTTGGGCATACGTAACACGTGTCCCAACCATCTCAACTGATGAAGTTTTACTACTTCATCAATAGATTTGCCATCCTTACCTAATACCTGTTTCCTAACAACTGCGTTACTTACTCGATGGTCCCAGGATATACGAGCAATGTTTCGAAGACACCTATGATCGAATACTTGTAACCTACGAATGTCCTCTACTCTTACTGGCTATGTTTCACTGCCATAAAGTAGGACGGAACGAACTGCTGCGCAGTAAACACGTCTCAGACTTCATTGTCCTTTCAATTCCACCCTAATCATTCTCTTTTCTTCGATTTTCTTAACCTTCCGTCACCAGGTATTTCACTTTCAATTGATGTTTACATACTACTTATATCAATCGACATCAATAGTGCATGCCGCAATATGACTTGATCTGAACATTTCAAATATTTTTAAAAAGTTGAATGAATAAGATTGGACAATTTGTTTAATACAAATGTGAAACCGATTAACAATGGTCAATCTACTTTCTATCCCATATGTTGATTAGACTCCTGATAGAGTATCATTAGATGATTATCATCATTACCGATTGTCTATTTTTACAGTTAGTGTAATTATAAATATACGAATTACACCATTAGACTATACATGATGCTTGAGATTCAGGAAATCAAGTTAGAATATGACCAAATACCGATTATTGCTATATTGTTACAGTTTTAATGTGACGACTATTCGGTTGAACAAATAGAAACTTTATCTAATTCCATATGAATAGATCAAGAACACTTTTATCTCCTACATCGAAAGGTATAGTTTAAAGTTGAGTAGATGTATACACATACCTCTCATTGTTTACTGAGTTACATATGTTCAAACTGAAAAAATATGATGAGTTCACATATGCAGCACAATGATTAAATTTTTTGATTGAGATCATGAACCGATTGATGTTAGATCACCGTTGGAAACCTGGAAGCACTGGACGGCCGTTTCGTCCTATTGTTAGACTCCTCAGCAGCGCGCACCCACGGTCCCGCTCGCTGGATTCGAACCCAGGGCATTCAGTCTCGCGCGCGAACGCCTAACCTATTGGACCAATGGGTTCGAATCCCGTGAGCGGGATCGGTTCATGATCTCAATCAAAAACTTAATAATCTCCACAACCACTATACAATGATTAAAACATGATTATTTACATCACAGAACATAGTATGCAAGTAGTTTCTACGTTCAATAAAGTTGTATAATAAGAACTTTCGTCTAAATTTGATCGAACAGTTTCATAGTATTTGGGGGCACCGAGTTCATATGAGATATTAAAGAGGAAGAATGTTGTATTTGTAAAATCCCAGCAAATAAATATGAAGTAAATCGAACATTTCGTTTAACAATCTAGTTCTGTTGGGACTCGAGAAACATAATGAATGGTAACTTTGGGATCATTTTATGGCCCAATACTAAACGTATATTTTTATTGTATAATGATTAAATAACTAAACTATGCATATTCATATTCCTCTTATTATAAGCTTTATTTTAACCTATGAACTGTTATTATACGATTTTCCATTCTTGAATTATTCCCTGTCTATTAGTCACTGCCTCTCTCATTCACAGCGACATCTGGTTAATTCTTGTACAAATGTTGTTTCATATTATATTGGTACGTTGTAGTCGGTTTGATTGGTATATAAACTCAGAATGTTTGTAATATAACGATGCATATCTCAGAGACTGAGACTTGTGTTCTGAACTCAACTGTCTGGGCTAGACAGGAAAGCAGGACCAATCATGACTCTAGGTTGTTCTCATGTGTTTTACACGTCTTTGGTCCGATTGATAATTCGCTACTGTCTAATCTACAGTCACAAACATAACAAGTTCCTTGAAGAAGTTTGGACCAGATTGCCAAATGTAACATTGAATTTACTTCAAATTCATTTGTTGAGATTTGAAAAAATACATTTTTTGAAATTATACAATGATACAATATCTACCTGTCCTTGCATATTCATTATAGCAACTGTATTAGAACGACTAGCTACAACAAATTGATCTGTATTACGAGGCATTAAATGAACTGAATGAATTGATACTTCATGACCAACTAAACCAGATATTGCCTATGAAATAGAAATGAAAAGATTATTATTATTCATTTTGATTTAACGATATAATTTGAATGTAAATGCAATAAGTGAATGAAAAATCATACTCTCTTTAAATGAACTTATCCTTCTTCTTTCACAATCACTATGGATCATTAACTTCCAGAATGATAAAAGAAAGTTAAAGATTCAATATTTCCCCCCCCACCTCACCAACAAACGAATATAATGAAAAATATGTAAGCATCTATAGAATTTTTGTATGTTTCTTTTGTAACTAATCATTAGAAATTTCACTGGTTGAAATGATGAATCAATTGAAGCTAGACTATCATGGAAAACCTGGAAGCACTGGATGGCCATTTCGTCCTAGTATGGGACTCCTCAGCAGTGCACATCCACGGTCTCGCGAGATTCGAACCCGAGACCTATCAGTCTTGCGCTAGGCGCTTAATCATTATGTAGATCCTGATTTGACTGTACACATATAGTTTATAAATTTAAAGTGGTAACTATAAAAAATCTCTTTTGCTAGATAATAATAGAATTTTCAGGTAATAATCCATTTCTCAATACATCCCCCTCATGTGGTTCGTCATAGCTGGATTAGCATGTATTGAAATGCAGAAGTTCTATTGGATGTCTATTTCTAACAATCAATACCTTCGTGATAAGATCATAGACCAGAGGTGAATTACCGGTACTTCGATAAACAGTTTGATATGATTACAGAATATGATATAATGATTTAAAACTCGAATTTACTAAATCCTGAGAACTGTTTCTTCTTACTTCATTCAATCTTAAACCTTTTTACCCAGACAAAAACAGAAGGACGTGAAAAAAACTTTATCCAAAAGAAACGGTAACATTTCTGTTCATATTTTATCGAAATGGTTCTTGCCAAAATAACATCTATAAGATCACCAGATAATCAAGGTATGGCCCCTAGAAGCTGAGGGTGAGGAGAGTTCGCTCTCCCTCTTCAAATGCTCTCACATAACCATGTGTATACAACGACTTCCAGAGAAGTCCTACTGGCTACATTCTCTCCGCACGGGTGTTTTTTTTACAAAATTGAGAGGACGGAAAGCGAATGGTTGGTGGATATGGAGGATCCACCTAGGGAAGTTGGAAAACCTTAATTCCAAACCGATAGTCACATCGTTGGTCACCGAATATCATGGGAATGCATCTCCTTACGTTGTTCTAATGCCTTGTGGATCAAACCTTTAGGTCGAAAGCTCGTGGTGTAGCCCCTTAAGAAAACCGATCTGGGAAACCTGGTAGTATTGTGGTGTGTATGCTACTTATATTGACATAAGTATTAGATGATGTTAGTCGTGAACAGAAGGTCTGGAAGCAGAGAGACAAGAGGATCGAACAGTAAAGAACGGAAACAGAATGCAATTTGTATGAAAATGCAAGAACAATGAAGTCTGAGTCATTTTGAGACAATCGATGGACATTTTGTTAATTACATATTTACTATTTGACTGTTAGATTTTATTAACAGGTCCTGTAATTTTGTGTCAAATACATTCAATTGTCCCCAGTGGTGTTCTTGTTCACTGAAGTATCACTACCTACACACAAATCAAGTGAATTGCGTGACGCATATGTAATCGGTGCTCCTTTGTACTAATATTTATTTATTCAAATAAATAACCGAGAATCAGGTGTGAGATTAGTAACCATTGAAAATATGATTGGAAAAGACAGAGTGAAAAGGTCTGTACGAAGGGATATTGGAATTCACAGCCGAGAAGAAGATAAACAGTGAGTGGGTCTGTGCTATTGAAGATCATTCTGAATCATGTCATCTAAAGTCCCTAGCCATTGATGACTGTTATTGCTTGGACTCTAACCAGGTAGTATGTACCTGCCTACATGATGAAGTTTAACAGTCAATGACTTGCTTCATGAACTGACTATATATCTTAGTATGGTTATTCCTAGCTTCTTTCCAATCTACTCGTACACCAGTCAATATCCACTGTCAAAATAAATGATGATCAGTTAACGGAACACACCTTAAGCACATCAGTCAGTGAAGACTCGTAAACTAATCAATCGATTTTTTACTTTTGGTAAGTACTATAAACCTAACATGGAAGTTGTTCACTCAGCTGTTCCACGATCAAAATCCTCCAGTAGAACCAAACATAAAAGATGAATTATGTGATATATAGTTTTAAGGTAAAACAGAGAAGTAAATCAATGGTGAAATTTATAAAAACAATAAAGAACAAAATAATAAATAGATTTGTATCTATAAAGAGAATATATACCTTAAATGTATTTGTACATTCTCCTGAACGAATTGACCATATTCGTACAGAACCATCAGCACTTCCACTTATTATATTATGTCCATCAGGTAAAAATGCTACAGAATTGACAACACCTGTATGACCAGTAAACTCTTTAATAATTTTACATGATTTCATTCCATGTATTCTGAATAATAATAATAATAATATGATTAAGCAAATAACCGTGAAATTCAATGTATAGTTAGATATTGAATCATGTTTAAGTTAACACTAACAATCTGATTAAATCACTGAGTTATATAATTTATTGAATGTTTAAAATACTATACGATAAGGAATCTCCCTTTTTCTGTATTGTTTAGATTCGCTAATGGCCTGGTACAGCCGAGGATGGGGAAAGTCAGCTTTCCCTCTTGAAATGCTCTCACATGGACAAACTCATACAACCACTGGCATGGAAGTTCTACTCATTGTCTTCTCGTGGCGAGGGTGTTGTTTACGAAATTGAGAGGACGAAAAGCGAATGTTCGGTGCTTTAAACGGGTTGGTGGATATAAAGGATCCACCTAAGGGAGTTGGAAAACCCTGATTCCATACCAATGATGTACATGGGCTCCAGGATTTTAAGGGAACAAATGCGTGTGAACCATTTGTTGATCACCGGCTACCACGGAACTGTATCTCCTTACGTTGCTCCACTGTCTTATGGAATAGACCTTTAGGTCGAAAGCTCCAGGAGTGGCCTCCTAAGAAAACCACCTGATTCGGTTTGGTCACCCGGGCAGTATCACAACCCACACATAAACCAAGTGACATGTGTTGTACATATTTTTTATTGCCTCTTTGTAATAATATTTATGTGCTCAAACAAATAAATAAGATTGGCTAATATCTGTTAATTTCACTATTAAGGTAAATGCCATTATAAATGACTTTTAGTCTGTCATACGACGCTAACACATAGTTAAATATTTTCACTAGTCTATTTTTTTGTGGAATGCGGCTAGAATATATTCAAATCCATGTGTATAAAGCAAAAGTGTGGAGCACCTAGACTTAGTGGCTGAAGTACTGGAATTTTAAACAACAGGTTACAGAATCGAATCCTTTTAAAAAATATTCAATTTTGACCGATTAAGTAGTAGTTATCAAGAAATATTATATAGATCATTTTGCCGAAAGTCGATTACACAAAATGAAGTAATGGTAATAATTCATGAAACTCTGCCTGGAGTCCCTCCGGGGGCTACTGCCGGTCCCAAGCCAGGATAAAGGAGGAGGGTTAGGCATGGGGTTGGCGTCCCCATCCCGTAGAAAACTAACTCGCTAAAAGGACGCTAACCAGAGAAAAATTACTCAAACCTTTTAAACTCTGACCTGAGAGTCAGAAGGTCTTCATTTAGAATAGTTATGACACCTCATGATGAAAGCCGAATTCCTTCGGAAGTCACGAGGCCGATGCACCTTCTAACAACCAGAGCAACAATTTTCATAGGTACATGGAACGTCCGAACAATGTGGGAGACCGGAAAGACCAGTCAAAACTGTACAAAACTCTATGAACTGAGCGATGTATCTTAGTTATTGGTTAACGAAATACTAGTTTGTACATTGTTCACATGGGACTCGAACCCATGACCAATTAATCGCTTGATAGTTGAGTGCTTTAACTACTAAATAAATAAATGTATCAGTAAGTAAATAAAATCAATTTCGTGGATTGGTTGAGGCTGCCTGCTTGAGCATCTGGGCTACCTGTTCCTGCCATCTAGATATTTCGACAAGTTATCTATCTTTGTTTGTTTTAATATATCATTATGTCTATTAATCGCACAACCTATTCTGCTGCGTTTCTGAAAAGTGTACAACCTTTCGTTGTCAAAGTTACAAAAAGCTCAAAAAGAGAGAATATTGTTGCTGGCAATATACAACGAAAAGAATGTACATTATTCAGATATTCATTTACTGGACTGTTAACATCTAGTTGGCGATCACTCAGTATTTATCGCGAGGACCGACCAAGAAGAAAGAAACGGAAACTTGTTGAAATACTTTGTGCTGAGAATTCTATATTGTACCAATAATATAATATTGAATAAAGCTAATAATAATAATAATAATAATAATAATAATAATAATAATAATAATAATAATAATAAAACCGTTGCATGATATCTCCGTGGTCTAAAGGTTAAGCGTTCGCACGCGAGACCGAAGGCCCTAGGTTCGAACCCCGCGGGCTGGATCATGGATGCGCACTGCTGAGGAGTCCTGCAATAGGGCGAAACGGCCGTTCAGTGCGTCCAGGTTTTCAGTAGCGGTCTAACATCAATCGGTTCATGATCTCAATCAAAAACTTAATAACCTCCACAACCCCATACTGAAAAAAATTCAAATTACCGAATGCTATGATCTAGACTAGCCGATAATAAGTGTGTATTATCTTTAGAGAATTGTATAGCTGTAACACCTTTATGATGTGCTTTTTCTAGACGTTTCAAACATTGACCGTTTTGAATACGCCAAATTTTGATTGTTCCATCTTTAGCACCAGATGCTAACATTTCAGAGTCACGACTAAATGTTAAACATAGAACACTATCTTCCATCATCATAAATGTATCCTGAAGTTTAACAAAGGCAAAAAAAAGAATAAAATAAGAGAAATAATTACATTAGATTACAGTACTGGCCATATTCCATCTAAACTTGTAAAAAAATGACTACATCGAGACAATTCGTACACGATGTCAACCAGAACAGATCAAAATATCAACAATAGGATAATCAAGACCATTACAAAATTAAAATCATGATTTAATAGTTTAGGTCCAGTGCCTAAACCGGGTTGGTGGACACGTATAGTCCACCTAAAGGAGTTGGAAAACCCTCATCTCAAAGCAATGATGCACATGGGCTCCAGGATCGTCAAGGAACAAATGGCGTCACCGAACACCATGGAACTACATTTTCCAACCTTGCTCCATTGCCCTATTGATCAAACCTTTAGGTCGAAGGCTTTGGGTGTGGCCCCCTAAGAAAACCACCTGCTTCGATTTGGGTACCCGAGGAGTACCACAGCCCAAACACAAATCAAGTGACTTGTGTGGCACATATCTACTTGGTGCCCCCTCGTACTAAGGTTTGTGTTTACATAAATAAATCAAAATAAAAAAATAACAATCTTTAGTACTATGTAATAACAATATTAAAATGCAACATAAATTACTGTGAAAAAACATATACATGCGTAGCAACTACTTGATTATCAGTGTCTTAAGAACAATGCTCGTTAAACAAAGCGGCCTGCAAGAACACCTGGGCTACCTGTTCCTGACATCTAAATATGTCAACAAGTTTTCATGCTTGTTTTAACACATTATTATGTCAATTAATTGTATAACCTATTCAGGTACATTTGTGGAAAATTTACAACCTTTCACTGTACAAGTTACCAAAGAGCCCAATCAAAGACATTATGATGGCTGTCAATATACATCGAAAAGAATATAGATTATTTAGATGTTGATTCCTGAACTGCTAGCAGCTAACTGGCGACCATTCAAGATTTATTGAAGGGGTCGATCAAGTAATAAGAAAAAGAAACTTGTTGAAATACTTTGTACTGAGAATTCTATATTGTACCAAAAATATAATACTGAATAAAGCCAATAATCATAATAAGTGTATGATAAAATTATCCTGCTGAGTTTAGGTATAAGGTTATACGTAGGCTGTACATCTATATAGACTTATATTGTTTTTTTTTAACAGTTGAGATCATGAGTCAATTGAAGCTAGACCACCATGGAAAACCTGGGAGCACTGCTAGGGCCTGGGTTCGAATTTTGCGAGGCGGGATCATGGATACGCACTGCTAAGGAGTCACACAATAGGACGAAACGGTCGTCCAGTGTTTCCAGGATTTCCATGGTGGTCTAGTTTCAAATTGACTCATGATCTTAACTATTAAAATTAATATAATATCCACAAAACCCCTTCTGATATTATATAGTTATTTTATGCTTATCATGCTCCCTAACATCAACGTACATCACTGTTTGTCATATAAACAAATTGAAAGAAAGCTAGAGGTAGACAAAGGAAGTCACAAGGAGGATCATAGAGTTCATTTAATGACATCTTGAGCTATGTTAAAAAGTAATAGCTCACTTACTGAACTAAAGTAGTACATTTTATTTTCACAACTCAACAACTACACTACCATATGCTACTACGGAATCCATAACTGTACATTTTTCCCTAATCACTGATTTAAATTAATCGAATAATGCAGTTTAACTGGCATTCATTGAAATTTTAATAGTTGAATCCATGAATCAATTGAAGCCAGAACACCATGGAAAACCTGGAAGCACTGGATGGCCGTTTCATCGTAGTATAGGACTCCTCAACAGTGCGCATCCACGATCCCGCCTCGCGAGATTCGAACCCAGGACCTATCAGTTTCGCGCACGAGCGCTTAACTACTAGACTACTTAGCCGGCATCTAACGGTGTTCATGGATTCAACTATTAAAATTACTATAATATTCACAAAACCCCTCTCGGTGATTTACTGATATCATACATTGGTTTCAAAAAATTATCCAAATTACCTGAGCTTGATATTTTAGATCTTTTCTTAACTTCCCAGTTGTAAAATTCCATACTTCAATAAAGCCATCAACTGAGCCAGTCACTAAAAATTGACCATCTGGACTAAACCTGGCACATTCGACATGACACTTTTGAACTACCTACAATATAATAATAACAAATTATCAAAGATAATGGGGAAAAAAGCCTATCACAGGACAAAAGAGCAGGCAGCAACAAAGAAAGAATCACAGTGTTTAAAAGCATCTGTACAAGATTCATTGAGAGTTATTTAACAAGTTTATGATTATTTCCAAAAATTTAAATCATCTTTTATTGAAGGGATAAACGAATTTGAGAAGTATGGACTATCAAATTTATACCTGGATAATGACTGGAAGATCTAAGAATCTGTTTCTTGAAACTAAATAGGGTGTGTACAAGAAAGAATATAATTTATATTAGAGTCAAATCACTCATCCAAGCTTGATCATCAGTATTACTGTACTTAACGAAGACCAATTAATTGTTTAATGCGAATTGTGAAAACTATACATTAAATACTTCATTTGCAAATCTTCTATCAACTATCCTTTACATCCCTTATGATTCTTCTGTTTCCATTTTTGTTTTCTTCAATTTAATCTTCCTTACCTTCTTTTGACAGGCATTCAACTTCTGACTGTTGGTTACATACTATTTATACCGACAGATATAAGTAGCATACACCACATTACGTCTCAGTCAGTCAGTCAGTAACAACGTAGAACTTCGTACGTACGTACATCAGTTCGATTTGCCACACCACATTACGTCTCAGGTTCAATTGGATATATCCAGATGAAATATGTTGATATTCTTTTCTGCGTACTGGATAGTTTATCTGTGAAGCTTTCACTGCCCATCACACAGAATAGAACACAAACAACTTGATCATGAGCTACAAATGTTCTCTATAACTTAAGTTTACAAAATAAGCCTTACATTCACAGATCAAGTTTAAACTTATGAGCAGTTATAAAACCGATGTAGAGTAGTGACTCAGTGGTTAAGTTTGAACTCCATCTCATATACTAGAGTTTGGATAACCAAATAGTATCACTAACCTTTATAATCAGAGCAAGGTTCATACACAAATACCCAGTGAATAGGCTTATATATTTTAGTTTCATTACGAAAAAGAAAACAGATGCTTATGGCTTCTTCATTTCAAGTTAACCTTGAATAAACTAATTTGTCAAGATTAGTAAAGTTAAATTATTCACATTCCATATACTGCATAACATAAACTTACTCGTATAACAGTAGACAATTTAGTAGGTGGTTTTTCTTCTTCTTGTTCACGTACTGCAGCTTTACCACGAAATACATCAATTGCTGTACCAGGTGGTAATAATCCTTGATGTTGTTGCCATTTAAGCGCTTGGCTAAGTAATGCCAATAAACGTGATGGAGCTACAACACTCACTTCTTCTGATAATGAACTAGCCAATGTTTGACGACGTTTCTCTTTTGATTGACCATCTAAATAAGCCTTGAGAAAAACAATATATATATATTATTTTCAAAATAAATTGAATTACCTCTCTTGGATCAAAATATGATCGATTCAAAAGATTATCTATATGAGTATAACGATCAGATTGTGTACGTTTCATAGTAATCATTGGTTCAGTTTGTCGAAGTATTGATCTAGCTGCACCAATATCACGAAGTTCTATTAATTCAATGATAATCTTTTATTTAGTTAAAATACTATACAATAAATATTACCTGTTCATATAAATCCATTAATTTTTGTTCAGGTAATTTTAAATATTGTACAGTTTGTAATACAATATCCCAATGACCATTTATAATATCTGATACAAAACTTTCTATAGATTCAACAGTATTCAATGATACTCTTGTTTCTTCCTTGTAAAAAAAGAAAAGTATATATTAAAATTGATAACAATATTTTCAGAAAAGATAGATAGTGTGGCTAGCAGTGGAATGTAGGACAATGAGCGTTTTGTCCTATTCGACATTCGTCAGCTGGATGTAACCGCACATTCCAGAATTGATATTCACTCCGGGAGTGACTTGAATCTAGTACTATTCGCTTCAAACATCATCGCATTATTCACTTAGCTATTGAGTCCTGATAGCCACCTGTTTGTGTAATGGGGTGAAGTTTAAATTCACTTGGTGTTGCAGTCATAAATAACAATCAGAAGATACAAGTAAAACAACACCAAGTGAATTTGATAACAATATTGTCTTATTTTTTTTTCATTTACCTGTACAGTACGTAATGTTCGTAGTAAATTACTTTCTTTTAAATATTGTTCTATTAGACGTACCACACTAGAAACAAAGAAAACCAGTTATATCATTTATAATGGAATAGTATTATTACTCAGCTGATTCAATTTCGATATCCATTACAGTAACAAATTGTGCGTAATATGAATCAGTACAATTTTAGTTCTATAAAAAAAAAGAGAAAAAGGAAAGAAAAGTTAAACAGAAAACAAAAGAATGTGTTCTTGAGTAAATTATCTAATCTAATAAGTAAACATCTATACTACTTACAAATGAAATATTTTAAGTTTATCAGTCAGTCAGTCAGCTACAACGTATGACTAGGCACATATATGTATCGATCCAAGTTGCCATACCTCATTAAAACAACGAGTTCTTACTTTAATCAACCTACAAAATCCGTATCTTTCATTCTCTTATGTTTTAACTGACTTGTTTATTTTAATATTTAATATTTTACATGTAAACATGGAATTTTATTACATGAGAAACCTATTTTTCTGGTGTTAGTGTCTAACATCAGACGGTTTATGATCTCAATCAAAAACTTAATAATATCCACAACCCCTATACTGATAATAAAGGCATTAGTGGGACGGAAACTGATAACACGCGTAAACACTATGGAAAAACTTGTTACTAATAAGCGCCATAAATAGTCAAGCCGAACATTGCAGCTATCTGTCTAAGACTATTAGTGTGCTATCTTAGGTACCAGCTACTTACATTTATCTAACCTTTAAAGTTAATCTCTTTAAACGCTGATCATTTCTGAAAACCCGAGCACTCATGAAAACTAACTTTGTAGAAATTAAAAGCAGACATTCTCGAAGATGCGGATAAAAACAGCTTGTGATATTAATTACCACAGAAATTGCCTATATATATATATATATATATATATATATATATATATATATATATATATATATATATATATAAATCGCATTTAGAGGACGAACAGGGAAACCTTTTGTTAACTGGTACTTGAAGACATGATAACACCAAAATTCGAGTAAAATCTGATAAGTCTCTAGAAGATACAATAAAACGAAGGCAGCACTAGCTGAAATATAAACGTGTGGACAACATGGTGAAGAAAATCTCCGCTTAGTGGGTTTTCGAGTAGTCAGGTCATGAAAGTGAATGCTACTAAGGCCTGTATGAATAGATGGTTCTCTTTATGAGTTGAATATATAAATCATCATAGTCTAGGAAATAAATTCCATGGACTAGGAGTGTTAGTGAACGAACTAAAGCCATTTATCGTAGCTGTGATCTCAACTTGGTTAATCCGTGACTTTGGTGTTACTCCAGAGTTATCGGAATAAAACCACCTAAGAAGTAGTAGAAACAGATGAAGGAATGGGGGTGGAGTCCTTATATGCATAGCTAATAATACAAACATCCGTTTCTTCGTTTGTGAATCTTATGATAGTGGAACTTGTGGAGTCATTAGTTGTGAACTCACTTTTGCAAGTTGTATATTTGTACTCTGTGTCATCTTCTGTAGCTAATCTGCCCAGCTGAGGACTTTATTTTAGAGCATATTTAACTACGGAGTAAAAATAACAGACGTCTGACGTTAGGGGATGTTAATGCACTCCATACTTGTTGGACAGGGATGTATACCGTAAGATTTGAAAACTTTCAATAACATGCTCCTGATGACAGCAACGGAACATGCTTTGGTACAACATGTATCCGAACCCACACATTTCGGTTCAAACTAAGAATCTTTGTTAGATTTAGTAATTAATCATACGACTAAGGATATTGCCTATAAAAATATCCTCCCACCTTTAACAAATAGCGGTCACGCTGTTTTTGTGATCCATGTGTAATTAATTAATTTATTTATTTGAACACATAAATATTGGTACAAGAGTGCACCAAATATATATGCGCCGCACCATATTTGTGTATGTGTGGGCTGTGATACTGTACGGGTGCCCAGACCGATGCAGGTGATTTTCTTAGGAGGCTACACCCCGGGCCTTTGACCTAAAGGTCTGATCCACAAGGCGGTGGAGCATCGTGGGGAGATGCAGTTCCATGGTAGCCGATGACCAACGATTGGCTCATACGCCATTTGTCCCCGCAGGATACTGGAGCCCATGTGCACCATTGGTTTGGGATCCGGTTAAAGCGCCGGACATTCACTTTTCGTCCTCTCATTTTCGTAAACAACACCCCCGCCACGAGAAGGCCGTGAGTAGGACTTCCCTGGCAGAGGCTGTGTACGTGTGGCCGTGTAAGAGCATTTCGAGAGGGAGGGCGGGCCCACTCCACTCTCGGCCATACCAAGGCATTTGTGGGCGATTCATCTTTAAAGCTTATGACATATTATATGATCAGGTTAAACCTCGCCCCAATGTGTGAAAAAAAATATCGGTCATCTAGAAAAGCCCTGTAACAACGGATTGGTTATTGAATACTAGCTCATCAATCGAAGAAGCATGGTCAATATTGAGAGGTACACTGAGCTTAGTCACGTCCTTATCTATACAAAACTTGGTAACACGATGGCCAAATAACTATTTACCATGGATAACTAAACAGGTCAAGAAACTTATTAAACGTTGTAAATGGAACTGGAGTGTGTATATCTTTACAGGCTCTGAAAAGTACGCATCCATTTATTGTAAGACTAAAAACGCTCGCAAACCACTGATAAGTAAGGCCATAAATTCAGATGAAAAACAATTGGTTAAGAGTTGAGAAAATAGTCCGAAAAGGTTTCTTTCATATATAGAGAGAACACAGAAGTGATGGAATCCCACCACTGTTGGTACAAAAAAATCCGACTATATTGGCGAGAAGTGATGTCGCAAAAACTGAACGTTTAGAAGAGTATGACATTCACCCTGCAATTCTGAAAGCCCTGGTGGATGTAACTGCTGAACCACTGGTCGCACTGTTTTATATGGTTTTGGGGCAGTCTGAACTGCCAAGAAACTGGAAAGACGCGGTCTATGAGGCGGGAAGTAGAGACTTAGTCAATAAATATCGACCCGTAAGTATAACCAGTGTTGTCGTCAAACTTATGGGGAAGATTATTCAGACGGCTCTTCTAATCTGTGCGAAAGGGAATAATTATTTATCCAGGGAACAACTTTATCTCAGAAAAGACCTTTCATGCTTGTCAAATCTAGTTGCAATAAAAGATTGAATTGTAGCGAAAGGTAGTAATAGTAATACGGTAGATGTAGTATTTTGGATCCAAATAAAGCCATGAAAATGTCGTTCATCGGGATCGTTGGTTAAAATCAAGACTATTAAGATCCATTATGTAGTCGTAAACTGGATAAGTGGCTTTCTACATCATAGGAGACTAAGGGTACGGGTAAATGGGGTTCTATCAACGTAAGAATTTGTAAAGAGTGGAATTCTTAAAGGTAAAATCCCGTATCATTTTTTGCTTTATGTAAATAACCTACCAACTGTAAAAAAGTCATTTGTTCTACTCTTTGCAGATGACAAAGATTTGGAGACACACAGCATGTCAGATAAAATATTACAGAGTGACTTAAATTCGAAGTTTCAGTAGACGTGTAGATGTTTACTAGAAGCTAACTCTAACAAGTGCGGTGATGCAAATAAATAAATGAGACTATTTATATCACTACACAATGTCTGGAATTGTGTGACCTACAGTAATAGACTACAAAGATTTAGGAGTGGCCAGACTATAATGTTTGGTCGAACCAGACAGATTTAAGATCCAGGGTCTTGGATTTCTATGCAAAATCCACTCATCAATATGGCTAAATAGCATTTTCGCATCACAGCTGATGTCAGTTCGTGATAAAAACCCTGAGTTATTATAAGCAACGACCTCAACACTACGAGACAGCCGCTGCTAACGGTTTCGGAATGTTCCAGGCTGTTTACAAGTCATTCCACAAATTAGACGAAATGACTGAGGGTGTTACGCCCGAATTTTGTAAGACCACATTTAGAATATGGAATCCAAGCAGCGAGTTCTTGTTTTAATTACGAAGTGAATACACTTAAACCAGTTCAATGGCAACGAACACGAATTATAAAACGGCCCTCTGGACGTCCTTACGAGGGCAGACCGAGACGTCTTAATCTGCTTTCTTATCTTACTGTAGGTAACGGGGTGCATTTAAACTAGATTACTGTAAACTAAATGATGATTTCCGTAATAATCTCTTTTCCTTCTATCTAGAACTGATCGTCTGAGAAGACATTCTAAGAAATTTCAAATGTCGAGACCAAATCGTTTAATTATGAGGTTTTGTTTCTCGCACCAAGTATACTCGGTAGTAGTACATACTACAGAAGAATGAAGATTATAGATTGTCTATCAAAAAGACACCAGTAGGTGAGAACCACTTATCTTTCATGAGGAAACATTTCGAACTATAAAAGCTTAATTACTTGCGTTTGATAGTTGTGTGGACTAGATCCAAGCAAATAAACTTCGGCTACTCCTCTGTAGCAATATAGTAGCGCAACATCCGAAACTACGCTACCAATCTCATTCAGTGTTTTTTTTTGTTTTGGTCTTGGTTTTCAGTACTCTGTCAAAATCGTCATGTCACTGTCTTTCTGCAAATAAACACCATATTATATATTTTTGACAAATATAGGTACTATTTATCTCACGAGTCCTGGTGCCCTATAATTTAAAGTCTTACGCCAACTGTGACAAAAATGCCTTCCGAGCAAACCTTGCACTGGTAACGTTGAAGCGCATTTTTGGCCAGTTTGATGGAAGAACTTTCCATGTAATCTTCAATAGTTTTATCCGTCCCCATTTAGAGTACGGAAACATAGTATTTCCCCCCTCACTCCAAAAGGATAAGGACACCCTGGAGCGTATCCAACGTCGAGCCACGAAATCAGTTCGAGGACTCAAATTTAAACCTTACGAAGAGCGCCTCCATTCACTTAACCTTTACCCATTAGAGTATAGACGTCTTAGAGGTGACCTTCTGGTGGCTTAAAGTATCATTAACACTCCTGAACATCCTCTTAAACACCTAATTAAACGTAGTCCCAATACTGACCTAAGGGATAACACCCAGAAATTGGAGACACAACATAGCAGAACGGACTGTAGACACAACTTCTACTCCTTAAGAGTTATC